CATTACCGACAGAAGACATTATGGAGTTACTAGAGCTCTGTCTCACCTCGACTTACTTCCAATACGAAGGAACACACTACAAACAATTACATGGGACAGCAATGGGCTCGCCCGTTTTTTAATGTAGTTGATAAAATTGTAATGCAATCTATAGAGGAACGGGCGCTCACGACTTGCAAACATGCACTACCTTTTTGGCTCCGCTTCGTAGATGACATAATCACAGCACTACATACAGACGAGATTGATGACTTTCACACTCACATCAACAAACAGAACAGCCAAATACAATTTACCAAAGATGTCGAAGAAAGCGAAAGTCTTCCTTTTCTTGACGGTTTTGCAAAACATGACAATCAAAAGCTACGAACAACAGTTTATCGCAAGCCAACACATACTGACCGAGTACTAGACTAATCATCTTATAACCCACCACAATTACAACATTAACAAGACGTGCAGGAATCAAATGTGATTCACCGGATGCTCTACACAACGAAAACAACTATTTCAAACGTGTTTTTGACAAAAACAACTATAACACTGACTTTATAAAACGCAATACTTACAAACCCGAAGAACCCAACAAAACGAGCATTTCAGTGACAACAGCAACGATATCTTAAATCGAAGGTACGTCTGAGACTATCTCGCGTATCTTACGACCATACAGCATACGTGTCGCATATAAACCAATCACAACGTTACGACAAATACTAACGAACAAAGAAGACAAAGAACAACCCAACGAACGACAAAGTGAAGTTTACAAAATAAACTGCTCCAAATGCCACACTTCCTATATCGGGGAAACTGGCAGAAACTTAAACATAAGATTTACTGAACACAAACGTGCTCCTAACAATCAAGACAAAACTAATCACATTACAGAACATCACCGAATCACAAAGCACAACATTGACTGGGACTCGCCAAAATGCATTACTTACACTACTGACTATAGACAACGGCTTACATTAGAAAGTTGGTATACGAACTTGGAAAAAAAAAAACCCTGAACAGATCACAGCAATTACTGACATCTTACAAACGAGTTATTTCACATTACAAACAAACGATCAACTAAAAACCATACACTTCACACTGATTCACATTGACAATACACAATTGACACCCACACATTACAACTAAAAACATCACACCTAAATCACACATCACAACTAAAAATATTTCACTTCACACTAATTCCCAATGACAATACACATTTCCTGTACACACCACCCAATGACGTAAGAACCAAATAACATATACGGCTAACCTAAGATGACTACCGCTTAGGCTGTCGAAACGTCAGTCAACAACAACAAAAACAGTTCTTCTCAGGACTATACCAACCTGGACGATCTACATTTACAAATATGTAACGATACTCCCGGACTTAAACCATTTACTGTATTATAGAGTTCTGATGTATTCTACAAAATAAACCAACCATTTGCCATTTTAGTACTTTATAATTGTGATAAAGATCCTGTTTGTTACATTTCCGACTGCTCATTTGTTATTCTTTGTAAAATCTGCATGTCTAGCAAGACGTTTTGTGGGCAATAATGTCTATACATTATAAATATACAGTTTAAATATTACAATATACATGTAGACTACTCCAAAAAAAACAGAACCCGCACAAATAAGTATGTATGCACTACAAAATCCTTATAAGATAATTTAGTGTGCAACAGCGTTTTTGCTTCGTTAATTTGTTACATGCTTGTCCATGTTCTTTGCAACAATATTATGCGCATGCACAACTAACCACTATACTACATTTTAAAGTGTTTGTTTCACTGTCTGCCAGTCGTTATCCTCGGAGATACTCGATCAGATTTTTTGAAAAACGACTGTTTAAGCGTTTGTTGCTTTCTCCTGAGAGCATTGTAGGTTGTTTTGCTAATGCTTCTCATTTCATTAGCTCATTTTAATCTGTGCGAAACTTTTTATTATTATTTCAAATTCTTATTTGACAGGGTAAAATCTTTAGTTATAGTAACTAATTAAGAAAAACACGATAAAACTAACTACATAGCTACATGAAAATGATTAGTATAAATACAATATTAGAAAAGCATTTATATTGGTTTACAAGATTGCCGTGTGGGAGTTATGATGTGTTGTAAAATTCATTTGCAGCTTTATTAAACTTTGCAAAAGATTGAAGCCTTCAAATATTTTTAGAGAGGCTATTCCTAAGCAACGCTCCATGACAGCAAAAGAAAGTTTTCTTTTAGGTAATTCGTATAAGGCTTTGATAAGTTTATTTTCATTTCAGAGTTTCTGAGGTGGTATTGCTTATTAAGCATCAAAAAGAAACTCTGTACATAATATTGTTTTAAGTACTAAGCACATTTTTTAATTTTCCCCTCCAATGTGTTAGTTTATCTATTTTTAAGAAGTTGAGGAACGCTTCTGAAAATGTTTCTTTTAAAGAAACATTTTCAGTTTGGAACAGTCTGGGTGGGTGAAAAATTATTGAGCAAAATTTTCTTTATCACAACCATGCCTTCTTAAAAGAAGTTACTTAGCTGATAAATTGTATCAGAAGATAAACGCCTCCACGAGCAAGGCGTAAGGAATTAATTGGCAAATGGCTTTAACTACTTTATATAAAGTGAACGTTAATGCTATTTAGTAATAAATTTTCAGGACAATTTTCTGTTGATATTGCTTTACTCCAAATTACGATTTCTGATTATTTTCCTTTGCACACCCAAAATGTATATTTTTCTATGGTCCATATCTTAATATAAGTATTGAAAAACAAAGATGAAACCACATCAATATTGAATGTAAACAGTAAATGATACGTTTTGTTCGTGTCATGTAGTTGACAGTATTCATGTCGTGTCATTTCTACTCATTTCCGTTTTAAAGGACAGTTGCACGACCTTTAAAGTCGTGACACGTCTTTTGAAGTAAAAATTATTGATACGTTCACATTATTTAACAAGCGAACTATTTGTGATTTACCACGATTGAATGCTGTAGTATGTCATGTGATGTTTGCATAAAATCAGATTCTTTTTCATATTCATTCAAGTGTGATATATATGCATATTAATTGCTATGTGTCTGCTTTAAATGAAAAGTTACTTTTATCAATGAAAGATTATCGCGGCACTTTTCCTCTTGAAAAGAAGTATTTGTCAAATTTTGTTCATCAGAAAATAGATTTATTTACAAATGTTGCAATTAATGTTTTACGACGTAATTTACCTTATAAAGTTCTTTTTCAGAGAAAATTAAAATGTAAAGTCGGGCCAAAAGTTATTTGCTCAGCAGCTGGGCAAATTATAAAAAATTACCATGGAAACTCTATCTTTGTAAAGTTACTAGGCCGTTAAATATTTGCATATGTTGGGCAACAAACGTCGTAACCATTAATAATTGTTGAGATTTAATAGTTACTCAATTACACTAGACATTTTTAAAAGGTTTGCTGTTCAATATGGCAATATTATGAATATTTGCTAATAATAATAAAACTATCCTTAAAAAAATTGATCGTTTAGGGATGGCAAATTGTTTTAATATTTAGGATAAAAATTGTTTTAACATAAAGGAAAGCAAATGATTTTAGCAAATCCATGTGTGTTCTAAGCTTGTATCCCCAACATAGCCGCACTTGTGTTTCCCCCGCCGTCACCCTAGTGGATAGTACAATAGATTAACAAGTAATGGGCTAACTTTGTTTAGACAGTACGTTACAATTGTTTCTTCATTCCCTGTTTGAAAGTCTGTACAGTTTGTTCTACTAAACGATTGGATGATGGGTGGTATGGTTTTATGGTAAAATGGCGTACTCCGTTCTCTGCAAGACTTTTGAAGCTCATGGTTTGTGAACATGGTAGTGTTATCTGGAACGGGTAAAGGTTGATGGGAGTCTGGCATTGGTTGTTTTGATTGTAGTAGTGTTGACGTATCAATAACCAGGAGGAATATTTTACCCATAGAGTGACCCGCATAGTCGATGTGGATACGTAACCAAAGAGGAGTGGTCACTCCAAGGGGTGTAAAGATGCAGTTGCCGAGATTTTATTCTGCTCTTTACCCTTTTTTCTATAAATGTGTCCTTCTTACGTGTTCATCAATCCTATGTTTCTCCTCGAAATATCTAGCTGAGGCATACGCTGAGTATGTTAAATGAAATTTTAAAGCACAGAATGTGTCAAAGAACAAAAAAATAATTTTTTCATTGTTGTCAACTGCCAACAAGCCAATAAAAACGTACATCGGGTGCCAAAAACACGCTGTATTACCAGCGTGATTTGGCTTCGACCAATAATGGGAAATTCAACACATAAAAGCAATTGTTTAAGTTATTATTACAGTCAAAATGGCGAAAAAACTGCTTTGTGACAATTTCATCCGTATGTAATGTGCAAAATCTGATTGTAGTTTACAAGCTGGGAGTGAATCAAATCGAAATCTTAATGAAATTACGTCATTGGAATTCATCTGGTCAATAAATTGAAAACAATAATACGGAATGTTACGATGCGGACTTTATAAACGTTAATTGTGTTACTATAATCTGACAATTCCTAAATCAGGCCCTTAGGTAAAATATTGCAATGATGCCTGTTGGTGATATTGAAATAAAAAATTGAAAATGTTCGCAAAAATTTTGTATTCTCACTTGTCTATTAATTCGAGTAAACCTGAGCAAACATAATGCTTTAACCATCACAAGTTTAAGTGGTTTAAGAATCCCCGAAAACATTAACACGCTAACTCATTTTATTAGAGGTACATGATGTATTTTATAATCGCATTGCGAATATGATGAAGCGCCGGTTTGTTTTTCTATTTACATTTCTAACAATCAGTGCAAAAATTGTCATGTCCGACAATATATTTTGTGTAAGTATAATGTGAAGGCAATGAAAATTTACAGTTAAATTTGGTATCACCATTAATATTCGATTACATACTTTTGTGCAAGCCAATGTCTTTTGGTGTCGTCTATCAAACAAAATTCTTTATATTGAAAATAGCCAATAACCAAAAATAACAAAGAAAAAGATAAAGAAAACCACTAAGAAAACAATAAAGAAACAAATATCAAATTTCCATTCTGCTTTGATTTTCCGATTTTGGAGATGGTTTTCTTCCTTGAGATATGTTGCAATGTCTTTAAGTTCTTGTAAGATTTCAGCATTTACGTTCTTCGTGCTTTGAGAAAGATTTTCTTGTATATCCTCAATTCTAGACTAAGAGGTAAGAATCGACATTTTTAACTTGATGGCATTTAGTGAAATACATCAAAAACTTTTTACATTTGTTTTATAATGTTTGGTTGTAATTTTTGATTGATTTGACCCAAACTTCATTCATAAAGAAAAGAGTAAAAATATTTTAAGTGAACATGAATACCTCAACCGATTTTCCATTTTCTGCATGAGAGGTTGATGGCTGCTCGCTCGAATCAATGGCACCATTTATATTTCCTTCAAGATTGGTGATCTAAGATGAATGGGAAGTCTTGAGTAAGATGAAGGAATGCATCAAAAACCATTTCAATTTTGTTCCGTTAAATGCTTGTTTGTGCTTTATGATTAATTTCATCCAAATTTCACTAAACAGAAAAAAAAAAGAAAAAAACCTACTCTCATCGGTTCACTCAATATTATATCAGTAGTGTTGTTCGTTTTCTTGCACCCTTTCTGCTTCTGCTGATTGTGAATACTTTTGCAACAACGTATTAACCACTTCCCCAACTGTTTACAGAAATCTTTGGGACCCGTTGGCAAAGGATCGGGATATGGGCCGTGATTCAGTCGCAAAATAAAAGCACTTGCAAGAAGTGATATAAATATAGACATTTGGACACAGATAAAAATTAAGGTTAACATAGGTCTAGAGTCTGAGGTGACTGGTGTCCGCTCGTTCACAACAATCATAATCACAAATAGACCAATCACAACTGAGATCAAAAGCAATATCCTCTCACCAGAGTTGGCAGGAAAACAAAACGAGATACAGGTCAGAGCTGACAGCAACATTGTTGGGATTATTATCGTCAAGATGTAATATAGCGATTTTCTTTGAAATTCAAAAGTGTATGTAAGGTCATGGAATGGAAATTTACAACACGTGTAGTTAATGGAGGAACGTGTAACCTTCACTGATTTATACTTCCAAAGAGAATTTGATTCCATGTGATTCATAATGATGCCGCCGGTCTCCTTCGATTCTTCTAAATCCAAATCAGAGCTATCGTATGTCCAGGAGCCAATTCTTAATTTACATTTTTGAATATCAAACGGGAAATTTTTGATATCCATTTGACACACGGACTGCAAGAGAAGAGGAGCAGACAAACTGACGTTGCCATTAGATTGCACTCTGGCTTGATAACTAAGGTCGTACATCTTTTCACCTTCTCCATTGGCGCTACAACAAAATAAAATGAATTAGAGCTGTGAAAATCAAATTTTCTTCAAAATATGATTTTGTAATCACAATTTGATACGGAGTAGAATCTCATTCCAATCATTAGGAGCAAAAAAAAATATAATAAACGTATTAAAATAACTTATGTCCAGCTTTGTGAGTAGTTTTTTCCTTCTGCCTATATTCTAATATTTCGCTGCAGTGTATAATTCTGTCAAATCTCCTGTTAAACAAACTCAATTTATTCATTACAGCATAGCCATATACCTTCTTTTTGGTTTTCCATAGACATCCTACCTTTTAGTCAAAGATTTCTACACTTTTTATACATACTACACTGCCGCTCAAGACGTCATTACACAATACAAAAATTAATGTCTTGTCAGTCTGTCATATGCTTTAACAAATCAACATAGATACACAGCTTGCACTTTTTTATTCTCAGTATGGACTACGAGTACGACTACGAGTGCGAATTACGTCAAGTACTAACGAACATAGAGGACAAAGAACAACCCAACAAACGACAAGGTGCAGTTTACAAAATAAACTGCTCTCACTGCTACGCCTCTTATATCAGGGAAACTGGCAGGAGCTTAAAAATAAAACTTACTGAACGCAAACGAAAAATGAACAAGAAAAAGAGGAACTAACTACTACAGATCAAAAGAATGCATTTTTTATATTCCATACTTAAGCGTAAGAATGGAAGAACAAGTTGTAACCGCATGACGTGTGAATGTAAAGAATTCCACGCACGTTCTAAAGCTTGCACATATTTACACTAAATGAATGGGGCTTCAAAATCACTTCATACTTAATCGAACTCGACATTTAACTTCACTGATTGCTTGGTTTTGAAAACTTTAGCACAAATCTTGCCATTGATGGAGAGAAGACTTGCCATTGATTATTAGTGGCATGCACAATTCATTTTCTTAATTATTGAGTGTTAGTATAAGTTAGCTTTTAGAATACGTGCGAAGGTTTTTTTGGGCTACGTAGTAAAATCCTTTATAGTTTAATTTCTGTCAATTCTGGTTTCTCTGGAAAAAACTTCCTTTAAAGTTGTTGCAAGTATTTTGACTTTCTAACAATCAATACGTTCTATTATTCTATTCGTCAATATTTCATGACGCTTAACTCATCCTTCAGAAACAAAACACCAGCAAAATCCTTCAGAAAACAATTTATTTGTAAAAATACTGGAAACATCTGTGCAAATGTTAAAATGTTACATTTAAAAGTTCTTTGTTCGAGAGAATATTATAGTACGCACTACCAATGTCAGCCTCTCATTTTAGCTCAGCAGCAAGTTCTTATCACAGAGATAGCGGAAGTGGCGACCTTCATCAATGAATACTGTGCATTATTAGCTACTATTGAAATGAATTTAAGGAATATATAAATATATAAATATGAGCCCTTTCCAATTTTCGACCTTCCTCATTCCCAATCTCCCATATAATTTAGTTTTTTACTCGCCAGCAAACTAAGCGGCCGCAGCCTGCTAATCGATCATAATATTATGTTTTATTACTATAGCAGGTAAAAACAGTTGTAAATCTCGCGGACTTTGTATAAGAAATTGAATTATTTTAAAACAAATCACAAAGATCGAATATGAGGCGCCCAAGTTGACAAAACTGCTATATTGCAAAAATTCTTGCTAAGTCTAAATAAACTCATGCTAAGTTAAAACAATTCATGCTAAGTGCTAAAATTTATGCTAAGCAAAATTCATAGTCTACACATAGCACACCTCAAAAATAGCATAGTGAAACTCGAAAATTGGATAATCTAAAGAAAAAGTATGGCAGAAAAGAATAATTTATCAACTGCTTTAGATGTTTTTAATGGTATTATAAAATAGTCCAGTTTCACCGCCTTTTTCTGCCAAGCAGTTATGACTACGATGGTTTCACTTGTTGCGTTGCTAAAACAGCAAAATGCATCTGAGCTTTTATTTTATTTTCTGTATTCCTAAATAAAACACAAATCGATGTATGGAATAGGTAATTATGGTGTCGTAGAAGAATTTTTGTAAGAACGTCTAGTCATAAAGTATTGTTGGGTAAGAGTTGATAACGTCACTTCTAAAACACTCGCGTAGGATGTTATTCTTTTAGGAATGTGAAATGACAGCTTACTGTACGACCAGGCCTTTGATATAAATACTTCTATTATATGAAATTTACACATTCTTTATAAAGATTTGTGTGTTCTATGTGTTTACATTTTAGAAAATAGAACGTTCGAGATGCAATTATCCGAGAAATTATTCCTTTAGCAACTCTCTTGTACGAACAACGGTCCTGCAGTCCAAACCTACGTTTGTGAAAGGGGGATCATCCGACACTCTGCTAACAGGAAGATCTGAAAGAGGCGTTCCCCCATAGGAAGACCTTCGGCTTTACGACAAACAACACATTTTCTGACGATTTTCTTTACTGCTTCTCTACCACGGATTATCTAAAACTGTTCTCTAATGGTTTTTAGTGTATCACGAATCTCACTGTGCTTCACATTGTGGTGAGCCTCGCATATTAATAAGGCCACAAATCTTGATTCCTTCGGAAACAATACAGGACGTTTGCTCTCCAGATTCAGCAAAGAATTCTTCAGTCTCCCATGGCACCTTAGCACGTGATCACCGTCGAGAAATAGCCCAAATTGCTTAAAATAAATAGGTATTGAAGAATTCACATTCTTTGACAGAAGGAATATTTCTTTTTCGAAGGATAGTTGTTGAAAAGACCTTATCCATAGCAGCTCTGCCTTCCTTATTTTGTCTGTGCTTAGTTCTTCTGAGGTTGTGAGTTTGTTTGTTGTTCGCTCGCACCGTGGCATCTTCTTTAACATGTTGATGAATCTCATTACATTAGCAGTTATTTGAAGAAGTTTCTTTATGGAGCTAATGTCGATTGCTTTGTTAAGATTTGGTATGGCTCGTTGTTCGATTTCATTCGAAACTAGTGATCAATTTGCACATGATGATTTTTCCACGGCAGACCAGCTTTGTAGCGTGTTCCAGTGAATCTAACATTTCGCACAAAATCTTGTTCCACGTGTGAATTCTCTGAGTTAAAGGAGTCAATGCGGACGCTCTCAGTTTCCCAAAAACGCTTTAATGATAATGTTAACTCATCTGTATCGGTTACGACAGTAGAATTATCAAGGCAATCGGCTGCTAAAATGAGGCTGTTCAGAGTATGTCCGTCTGATTTTTGTGATGACCATTCACACAAAAGCCATCCCACTTTGCTGCTCATCACTGTTGGAACATTTTATCCTCGTACGACATCACCTGTGACTACGTCCCAATAATGATCAGCTCCTATCAAGATGTCGATTGAATCGCAGCTACCATTGTCATCAGAAGAATCAATGTCTGCAAGTTCTAAACCATGGAGATGTGAATATTCGTCTATGTTTATCCTTGTAGAAATTGGTGCACATATTGCTGGAAATGCGATTGCTTTAATCCCTACTGCCTCACCTCCACTCTTGTTTGCAATGCTCACCATGAACACTTCGCAGCTTTCTCGTTTACTCTTGCTTTGACCAAAGGTATTTAATTGAAGTGTCTCCTTACTAATTGGATTAAACGTTAATCGGCCTTGAAATGACCTTCCAATGTAAGACCTCTGGCTTCTAGTGTCAAAGAGAATTCGTGCTGGAACCGATTATGATCCATTTGATACTAGAGCTCTAGCCGTCTGCAAACGAACACTTCCCTTGACAGTTTGTGTGACAGCTGTTGTGGCTAGAGAGGTTACACCTTCTTATATTTTCTGTGGATTGGTGTTATCAAGTGCCTTCTCATTTTGGACACCCTGACTGTTGGTAACTGATGCCTCCCGGAACAATGTCGATATTTTCTTGTGACTGTACAATTGCTTGCTTGGTGTCAATTTTTCAGACAAATAAAGCAACTGTTGGAGTCCCTTAGACTTTTAACTCGGGCTTCCTTTCCTTTACCTCTTCACAAGATGCTGAATAATGTCATCCTTGACAGTATCCCCATTTAACCTTGAAGCTACAGGCACCGTCTTTATCATTTTTTTGTCACTTCAAATGTTCCAGCTGTCGATGGCTTGTTGGGCTTATCTTTGTCCTGGGGTTTTCCAATCGAGCGCGATGACACGCTCATTTCACGTGCCTCAACTTCAAACTTTGTGGTTTTGAGCAACTCCTCAATTTGCCAAACATCACCAGTAGCTTTTCGTGCTACCTGCAATCTTATTTCACTCGGTAGTTTGGACATAATAATTGGTATTAGCAGACTGTCGTATTAGTTGGCAGATAACATAATCTAATCAAGTCCTCGCACTTGAACACCTATTTCATCGAAAACATATCTCAATTGCCCAGAACAATTTTCTGAACATGAAAAGAGGAATGAAAATGTTTTCTGACAGAAAACATTTTCTGGGCAATGAACAATTTTCTTGTTTATTGCCCAGAAAATAAACATGTCGATATTGCATACTCGGATGTAAAACGTTGTGTAAGAAAGAAAAACATGTTAATCATACGTCAAAAAAATATACATATCGAAGGCCAAGACATCTTGTTTATTTAGTCAAAAAAGATTTGCGAGTGTATATTTCGAACGATCATGAAATGGCGCCCAACGTGGGGCCGGTAAGTAGGTATACGACGGTTTTCTAGAACAGCTTCATTCGAAAACGAGAGATATGTCGAAGGATAATATTGCGCGACCTCGCGCCAAACGAGGCGGTTATCGTGGCGTGTGTATAAGGCTTGTAAAAGAAGCACTCGAGCTTCTTGATGCATTGCCCAGAAAATGTTTTCTGAAAAAAAAAACATTGCCCAGAAAATGTTTTCTGTTCATGAAAATTGTTTATTTTCATGAACAATTTTCAGATATTTGTAGGCTTTGATCCATATGTGCGGCAATGACCTGTTGGGTTCGAACAAATCTATCTTGCAGAATCGCAATTGCGGCGTCATAATTTGCGGATGTTAAAGTAAGTCCCTTTATCGAACGTGTTGCACTACCATCAAGTAATAAGAATAGGTATTTTAAATTGTTTACCTTAGACATACTCTCGTTGCTGTGAATCATAGCATTGTATCAAAAAGCGTCCCATTCTCATATCTTTCCCCTGAATTTTGCAAATTGAAATTTGGTAAACTTTGGCATCATTATCGCTGGTGTTGGTCTGATAGAGGCATTCAAAATTGTAGAATTCGTATTAATCGCTTCATTCGTAATCGTATCAGTAGCATTCGTGTTTGTATAGACCATATACGTGTTCGCATTAACCGCATTCGTGTTCATCGCATTTGAGTTCGTATTAACCGCATTCGTGTTTGTGTTATTCTCATCATTGCTTAACGTTGTGTTACCCGTGTTTGCTGTTTCTACCAATAAAGAATTCTGTTCGACTTGTATTGTTTGACTTTGACTTTTTTTATAGTTTCTTGACAAATATTAATTGATAAAT